GCTTTGTTCAGGTTTTGCCCAAAGCTTCTCAAGCAAGTTCTGGAGTGAAAGACTTCTCAGAGAGGGAAGCTACGCTTTCCAAAGGAATGGAGATTTATCAGCCTCTCTCTGATTCTGTGTCTCATTTCTCAGCGAATTCAATAATTGAATGTGGAAAGGTTTTCTCTTCATTGGGCCCTTCAAAAACTCTATAGGGCCCTCTCCCATCAGCCTTTGCTCCTAACACCCCAGAATGCCCTCTGGCTCTGTCCATGTGTTTGGTACACACAGCATAAGCCCTTTCAAAGTTACAAAAACCTGACCACCAAATTTATTTTATTTCTACTATGTGTATTTGATAATCATAATACTTCCACAATTGAGCATCTTTTATATATCAGATTTTATAATACACAAACCTCATATAGACCCTGAAAAATAAATATTACCCCTCTTTACTTACTTCCTTTCCTTAGATGAGAAAATTATGACGTAGAGGTTCCAAGACCCTCAGCTCTTTCCATTACACGTTCTCTCCCTCCCTTTTCTTCCTGTCTCCTTCCCTTCCATCCTTTCAGCCTTCCCTCCTCTCCTCTGCCTCTCCTTCACCCATCCCGCCACCTACCTTTATGCATTGTCACATTTGCTAGCCCTACAGAAGACTAAGCAAGCACTGGAAACTAACAAAGTATTTGAAGGATTTCAGTATGTTAAAAAATAGTCTATAAAGTTATACCCCAACAGCTGGCTCCCCAAGAAACCTGGCAACAAGCAATAGGAAAATTGTGGCTGTCTTCTCAGGTTACTCTCGAAGAATGTCCAGCATCTTACTCAAAGGCCTAGGGGAGGAAGCCACAAAGATACCAGTGTGCACAGGGAGAGGCCCAGCACTTCACCCAGCTGGGACTGCCCAGGCTTGACCTACGAACAGGCTCAGGGTGGGAGCGCGCCCTGGCCTGTGACACACGTAACACATTTGTAATGGAGAAACTGTCGCCTGCAAAGGGATGAAAATTGTTGTTTGGTGGGGGCATCAGAATGGGCATGGAATTCAGCAGCAGAACACAGGCTTGGCAAGAGGGAGGCTCTGGGTTCAGTGTTCACACAACCCTCTCAAATTATCTCACTCTTTCAGTATGTAAAACCCAGACACAAGCAGGGGATTTTGCTCAGTGGTGTAAGCGCCTGCTTGGCAAGTGCAAGGTTGTGAGTTTGATTCCTGGTACCAAAAAAAAAAAAAAAAACAGATACACATTTAGTACCTAAAATACCTAAAAAAAAAAATTTGTATTATCCACTGGTTTTAAAAATCATTGGGCAGGGTCGATTAAGAAAATATGTCTAAAAGTAGTCCAATTAGAAGACCAATAATTTTTTCAAAAAATAGTTGAAAACTGATGTTTGTAGTGTCTTGCAGAGTATTCCTCACACAGTAGATACTCAGTACATAAGAATTATAGTTGCTGCTATCCTGCTTAGCAGTTACCATCATCCTACAATGTAATCATAGAAATCATCACCCCATCAAGGTTAGGGAAGGGGGAGCTGGGCAAAGTTCACAGACGAGGTGAGCTTATGGTGGGCCCTGCCTGAGCCACTTGTCTGGATTGTCCGGGGTTCTAGAAAATAAGCAGATTCTTGCATATGGTTAGAATGACCTCTGACATGTCAGAAAACACTTAGAAACAAAAGTTTTTAAAGCCAGAATGAAGCAGTATACAGACTGTCATAATGCCTTTTCTAGTGTGCTATAAATGGACATGTCCTGCATGCATTCTGCTCTCTGCAGGTTTGAGGAAGACTAAATATCCAGTAATTAAATTTTTGTGTGTCTTTTTAAGACAGGGTCTCGCTATGCAGTTCAGTGTAGCCTAAGCTGGTCTCGAACCCTCAACAATCCTCCTGCCTCAGCCTCCTGAGTGCTGAGATTACAGGCATACACCACCATACGCCTACAAGGCCAGTACTGCATCCTCAATCAAAGGATAAAGATGAACCTTAGTTGTTCTCATTTACTATCCTGAAATAAGGATCAGGGAAAGCCTCCTTCCTACTACACTGCATCTCTCTTGTATTCCTTTCCCGCAGAGGAAGAGACACTGGGAATGCTGACACTATAGAGGAAAGTTGCAGGCTGGCATTCAAGGACTTCCTTGTGAACAATATAATAGTGGCTGCAAATGGACAGAACCTAGCCACATAAGAAGGGGTGTTATCTTCATGGAGCATGAACTTAGCATATGACAGGACCTGCCTGAAGCTGCTCAGACATCTCTGGCTAAGTTGTAGGGAAATGAAAACCCATCAAATAGAATATGAAAGCATCTTTAGATGCAGTGAAACGTGGGAGGTAAAATAAAAGACATAAGGACACAAATATTGAGAGTAAAAACATGACATAAAAAAATGAGTGACTGGGCACCAGCACCTTCCGCTGGGTGCTGATTTTTGTTTCAGGGCCATAGCTTCAAATTTAAGAATGAAGGATATTTGGCTCAAAATGGAAAGTGTTTACAAAGACTGAAAAGAATGCATGTAGTCAGAAAGCAATTCATCTGGCCAAAATGGCTACAAATGGAAAACAGATAAGAAAGGATAAAAACACCTAGATAAAACTGAGATGGGTGTCCATGCATGACATTAGGGACAGCCTGGAAGAATTTCAACAGCGAAGAAGTTCTGAGTGACTTGCTGAGAAAATGATCAGCAAGGACATCAGAAACAAAACATAGGCAGCAGATGTCCAGATACCATGCTCAGAACATAAGAAACATAGTTACCTTGAGATTATCGGATTAGTAACAAACATGACCCCATAGATGCCACTAGGAGCTGGCAGGTGGAATGGATCCGTGGGAACACAGCAACAGAAGGATGAGGTGTGCACAAAATGATGGAGCTATGATGCATCATGATAGGAGCATTTCTGCAGGGCAGCACTGTAGGCTGCGATAACAGCAGATTCAGAGGAGGCCCCAAACACTTGGAAGAAGATGAAAAGAAAGAGGAATGGAAGTGATGTTTCTGAAAAGCAGAGATGAACCACATGGAGGAAAACCACAAAGCTGGCACAACACATGTGATTAGTGAGGATAAGGTTCTGCCTGATTCATTCCGATAAAAGCAGTTTTTTTGCTTGCCTTCCCAATAATTTTATGTCCTAGAAGCAGAGGAAGGGATAAAATAAGTGTACTCCTATTGATTCTGATCCGTGTGAAGAAGGCATTTGGTGGACTGCAGAACCTGGAGACTGTGCCTGTCACTTTGTCAAAGAAAGGCAAGGTTGAGCTAGATCAAAAGTATATATAGGACTTTAAGAAGCTAGGTTTCAAAATATAATTTTGAAATTATATTCCACAAGCCTCCAAAGAAGAAGGAGGAGGAGGAGGAAGTAGAGGAGGAGGAGGATGAGAAGGAAGAGGAGAAGCAGGAGGAGAGGAAGAGGAAGACAGTACCAGGCTGTGCTCAGAAAAATGACTTTGGGAAATTTCAACTAGAAAAAAAATGAGGAGGGCTGGGGATTTAGCTCAGCGGCACAAGCGCCTGCCTTGTAAGCAGGCAGTGGTGAGTTCAATCCCTGGTACCAATAAAAAGGAAAAAGACAAAAAAAAAGAAAGAAAGAAAAGAAAAAAAATGAGGAAAGTAGAAGGTTTTTAAAGAAACTTGAGTACAGTACAGCTAGGATACAGAGTGAGCACTCAAAAGCATGGAAGGCAAATGATAACTCTTAAGAGTAGCACAGAGCACCACAAAGAATAGCAAGAATGCTAAAATTCTGCAAGAATCAAAGCATGCAAAAGGTAGAAGTACCAGAGATAGTATGATGGAGGCAAAAGATTTATAATAATGAGTATCATTGTTCTTTATAATGATTACAGGACTATCCCATAATGAATATACCATTTTATGACATTTGAAGCTATAGCATATGAAGTTATATTCAAATATTATTTTTTATGATTTTTTTAATTAAGGGGGAAAATCAAAAAAATTAGCAGGATATATTATAGTAACTTGTTTGATTTCCTATTAACTTGATTTGAGGTCCTGTAATACTCCCACTATCTTGTTTTGACTGATTAGACGCTGTTCCGTTCTGTATGATAGTATCAAGTTTGAGGGTATAGGCCACTACTTTGAAGGCAATAAGATTCACTAAGATGCCCATTCTGGTTTGACTATTATCTTCTTCGGAAGTCCTGTAGTGTTTACAAGGTTTAGGTGTTATTGGTCTTGTTCTCTACTGTTTTGTTCAACTTTATAATACCTAATGAGGTAGACAATTCTTTTTAAGGAATGGTAACCATTGTCGATAACCTTGTACTCTGTTTTTACATCATGTACTATGTCTATCCTTGGTTTTGACTGACAGCTTTGTTTTGCCATATTTGACTTTATTCTCTTCCAAAAAAAAAGTAATAAGAACTAAGGAGTAATAAAACCCAAAATGTGTAAATTTTGTTGTAAAAAAGAGAGGAAAAAAAAGTGCTCTAAGTATACAACTGCAAGTGTGTTTAGGGGTGTTAAAAAGCTGACCATATTAATGTTTTTGGATGTTTTTGGACCATATTAATGTGGTTGGATCATTGAACACAACTGTTTGCAGTCTCACTGAATGTCCACTTTGTATGTTTTGATACTGTGACTTGAGCAACTATCTCTAAGATGATAATTGTAATCTATTAACTGGTGATTTCTGTTTTTTTTTTTTTTTTTTGTAGCTCTGTATTAATTCTACCCTTACACTGCTTTGTTTTGTTTTGTTTTTTCTCTTTTTTCTTTTAAATAAAATATAAAAATAAAGAAAAAGAACAGGCAAAACTAATCTCTTCCAAGGATTAGTTTCTATGAAGGTAGAAATCCTAATAGTAGTTGCCAGGGAAGTTAGGGAAAGTGATAGAATGTAAAGGGACACCAGTGAACTTCCTGGAATGATGACATACTCTATTTTTCAACTAGGGTATCAGTTACAAGGGTTAGGGCTAGCCATATGTAATTACATCTCTATAAAAATACAAAACCAACATGTAAATCTGGGCAATGATACGGAAAAAATGACTTTTCTCCCATAACAACAGTAAATAAATGAAGTTCATGTACGCAGTCAAGGAATCCAAAGAAACTGCAATCTCAAGAGTTTGACATTAGCACTGCTTTCCAGGTAGGTTTAGGAAATGTAAGTCCGACCAATCTCTGCAAATTCGTTTTCTCCTATTGGCAAAGTCTTGCGTACTACAGGGAGGGTGCGTTACCATTTCCATCTGGGTTACACTGGAACCGGGTGCCAACAATTTCCAAACTTTCATACACCTAAGTATCGCCATGTGTACTTGTTAAAACCGTAGATTCAGAGCTCATACCTGTAGATTCTGATGCAGTGGATATGGGTTAATGTCTGAGACTTCGCATTTCACTGGATACCCCTTGTGAGGCTGAGGTAAGTAATCCATGAGTCTATAGTTTGAAAATCTATCATAAAACCATCCCTACTTGCTCTAATTTCATGTCCTCCAGCCAACTTTCTGATATTAAAGCTTTTTTCCAAGACTTTACAGAGAAAATATGTTGCTTGTGTTACCATGTATTCCAGCCCAAGTGATGGAACTCTTTCTCACTTTAAATAATAAATAGTGATAGGTTAAGTATGTGATTGATTAGCTTGTTAATATTGCAAGTGCTTAGAATGTGATACAAAAAAATCATATCTCTGGGCTTGTGAGGGGCAAATTCATAGAAATATTTCCAAAATACGATCTCTTTAAAGAAATTCTAAACCAAAAATAATAGTTACATGTTTTCAATATATTGAACTTTACAATAAACATAATGATTTAATTTTATACTTAATTCAGTATTTTTAAATATGTCCTGCAATATATTTTTCTGATTAGAAATTAGTGATTATTGAAATTTAAGAAAAATGGGAATTTTTTTAATCACCAGTTGTCCAATTACTGTTGGCTAACCATGAAATATATTCTGATTTTTTTCTTCAAGTCATTTTTCTATGTATATGTATTTATTGTGATGGTAGCTATTTATTGTGAAGGTAGTTTATTTTCTTATACAACTTGGATCATGCTGTATAAGCATTCCTAACATGATATTATATCATATGTTAACAGTATTAGCTCTTTGACTTTTTCTTAACAGCAATTACCACCTGACATAATATTTTTGTTTGTTTATTTTCTATGCTGTGTCAGATGCGTGCTCCAGAAAAACAAGGCTTCTACCATGAAAACCAGCTCTTACAACATTGCATGTGTTAGTCACCAACAAAGGTTTGCTGAATAAACAAATGAGTGAATGGCATTGCATTGTATCAGAAAATACGTTTCAAAATCATGACTTACTCTGATTAAGCAACTGTATCAAATGAATATAACGTAATTTATTGAATCATTTTTTTTCTTGTTTCAGTACCGTGGGTTGAATTCACAACCTCGCGCTTGCCAGGAAGGCACTTAAACCACTAGGCCCCCAGCTCTTTGTGTGATTCTTTTTTTGTTTGTTTGGTAGCAGGAGTCGAACTCATGACCTCATGGTTGACAGGCAGGTGCTTATGCTGCTGAGCTAAATCCCCAGCCCTTTGAATCATTCTTTTCATGTTGGAACAGTAGCTCTATTTCCACCCTCCTATTTCTATTATCATGAGGAATAAGTCTTGTTTATAAAACAGAGTTCATGTTTTTTAATATTTCCTCAGGATTAATTCCTAGAAATAGAGGTTCTACATCAAAAATTAAACCATAAAGAGCTTTCCACATATTGCCAAGTAACTTTCAGGACTATCACCAATTTATGTCTATAAGCAGTGTACAGAAATCATCTCTTTGCATCTTTACTAACATTGAGTATTGTCATTTTAAAAAATAAATCTGGACAATTAAGTCAGACACTATAGCCCTTTGTATTTGAGCTGATTAATAAGATAATAATAAAGAACATCTTTGGGAAAAGCTGAAGTTAGAGGTGGATCACATGTGTAGGGCCAGCTCCTAGAACAGGGAGAGCCTGAGGTGAGCCACAGCTCCTAGAACAGGAGGTACCCAGGCCATCCAGGCAAACAGGTTGCTAGGCAGAGGGGTTGAAATTCACATCAACCCCCAGAGAGTATCAATCAATGCCCTTCAGTGGTTGGGCAGTTCCTTTTCTCTCACCAGGAGAGAGGGCTCCACCTGACCCCCGCTTTCTGTATTCTGCCTCTTGTCTTCATTTCTTCATCCTCCACTGTCCTGACCCTAGCAAGAGCCACACTGTACTCGGCATATTATGTGTTCCCTATAAATGTTATTGCACATTTTCCATTTTAGTATTCACTTTATTTATGATAGTTTTAAGTAAACACATTTTTTATTATTAATCTTATACTTTTTAATTTACTCCATTTTTTGCTCTCAGGAAGCTATTTCTCATTTTGAGATGAGATATATATTTCCTTCATCTTCTTGCTAATTGTTTAAAAGTTTAATTTCTTATATATTATCCTTTCGTTTACATGGAATATACGTTAGTGTATATTATGAAATGTAACCCTGACTTAATTTTTTCTTTTTAGTTAATCTATTGTCTTGATATAATTTATTGAGTAATCTTCTTTTATATTGTTTTTACTTATGTTAAGTCTCGACACTAGTGAAGCAGAGTGCTTTTTCTTTTTCTTTCTTTTTTTTTTTTTTTGGTACCAGGAAGTAAACTCAGGACCTTGTGCTTGCCAGGCAGATGCTTGTGCTACTGAGCTGTATCCCCAGGTGTAGAATGCTTTTCCTAATGTGTGTGTATTTTCATTTGTCTGTTCCTGCCATTTTAAGTTATATGTTGTCTAGTACAGCACTCAATTTTTTCAGCTTTATTTATAAGTATCCTGTATTAACTAGAGATATGAATATAATTGTTTGTTTTGTCTTCATTTGAATTCTTGTTTATCTTTTTCATGAAGTTAGTTAGAACATTAACCCTCTCCACAACTGCCCTAATTTCTACATCAGAAAATCACTATTATCAAGCATGCATTCTTTTCTCATTAGTTTGAAGCATCACATTTACCTCCTTCTGTTTCTCTGGTATGGTATGGTTATCTGAAAACTCTGGGATCAGATAATAGTCATTCATCTTCCATTAAACTCTGCCACAGTTTTCTGTAAGGCTGTGAGTGAACTGGAACAGTGACCTTTAGCACATGGCAAATGGTACATAAGGTGATAGCTGTCATTGCTGTGCTGGCTGGAAGATCTCTCCCCTATGGTTTTTATTTGTTTTCACTTCATGCTTTATTTGGTGGGGGAAAAAAAAACTCAGTAAAACTCAACCTCTGCTTTTTGAATGTCTCCAGCTCCTCACCTCCCAAGAGGTAGGCTGGAACTCCCTCAGGTAAGGTAACTGCAGTTTTCCAAATTCATTGCTCCACGGTATGTCTCCTACTCTCACCTCTTATCATGGCCAAAGATTCCAGCCTGTCTTTGGGGTAGTATGCATTCTGTAAGAAATGGCTATGGAGCCAGGAGTGGTGGCACACACTTGTAATCCCAGCACTCCGGGAGGCTGAGGCAGGAGGAGTGCTATGAGTTCAAGGCCAGCCTGAGCTACATAACGAATCCAAGGCCAGCCTGAACTAGAGTCCCTGCCTCAAAAGAAAAGAAAAATGACGAGGGATGTGACATGCTATCACAGGGACCTTGAGGGGCAGTGCCGCAAACTCCTCACCATCCAGTTTAGGAGCCAGCTGTACAGATACCTGACTTACCAAGTACCTCTAACAAAGAGACAACAGTTCCTAATGTCCTTGAGTCCCTCCCCATCCCACCACATGCAACTGCAGACTGCATCAAGGCCTCCTGACAGCTTCTAATAGAATTTTCTGCTTAAACTCATGCAGGACAATCAACCTGGTTTTTGTTTTGTTTTCCCTTGTTAGTCCACTTCCACCTTATAACTTCTAGAATTATAGGTATGTAACAATCCTCCCAAAATCTTAGTGGTTTGTAGCAACAGTTTATTATTACTTCATGATCTCAGGTATGGACTGAGTTTAATTGAATGGTTCTTCTGGCCAGCTTGTGGGTCTGTCATGTAGTTACAGTCTGATGGCATCTGGGCTACAGTGTTCTAGTGTCTTCACTGCATGGAGTCATCCACGATGACTTCTCCCTTATACCTTCCAGGTTTCGCCACACAACCTACCTCCCTCATTCAGAGATACCCAGTACTCTGTGCACGTGGTCCCTGGACTTCCTACATGGAGGCTTGCTTTCAGGAGTGAAAAAATGCATCACCCTCCAGCATGACATCACTCTCTCCACACTCCGTGGACTAAAGCCCAACCTCAGAATGGGTGAGAACCACTGCACAGAGACACAGGTAGCAACAGGCATGATTCAGTGGGCCCAACCCTGGGTAACCAGCAGATCGCTTTGCTGTGTTTCCCAGAACTGTTATATTTTTTGGTTGTTGTCATTGTCAGTTTAATCAACTCAAGAAGATTTAGAGCAGAGAAAAAATGATAAATTTGTACTTATAATTCAGCATCTTAATGAAATTCAGATATTTTTTGGCCATGGCCATATAAATTTTTTTTGGTATTTGTGTCATTCTCTTTTAACACATGTGAACTTCATAATTTTTTTTTCTTTTTGAAATGGGGGCTTGCTGTGTAGTTCAGACTGGCCTTGAGCTCACTTTGTAGCCCAGGCTGGTTTCAAATTTGCAAATCCACCTGCTTCAGCCTCCCAAGTGCTGGGATTACAGATGTGTGCCACTATGCCCAGCAATAATATAATATTTATAATGTATTGGAAGATTTCTTTATTGTTCAATCCTGTCACCATCATTTAATATAATAACTTTTTCATTCACAATGAAATCTCTTAGAATAAAATACATTTAACTTTTTTTTTTTTTTTGCTCTTTTTCCTTTTTAACGGTACCGGGAATCAAACTCACAACTGCCTGCTTACAAGGCAGGCGCTTATGCCACTGGGCTAAATCCCCAGCCCCACATTTAACTTCTTAATTTGATAAATATTTAAATGTATCCTTTATGCACTAAGCCCTATAATCAAGGTGCTATTTCTTTAATGTTTGTAATTCAATTCGACTGTAAGTAGCCACATAGCATTTCTTGCTTTTTTTGTTTGTTTGGTGCTGGAAATTGAACTCAGGACCTTGTGCTTGCCAGGCAGGCACTATGCTGCTGAGCTCTATCCCTGGCCCTTCATTTCTTCAATGTGAAACTGCATTGCCTTTTATTAAATGCATGGAACTGTAAGGATTATAAATGATTCTAAACCAGGAGTGGTGGTGCACACCTGTAATCCCTCAATTTGAGAGGCTGAGACAGGAAGATAGAGAGTATTTCAGTGAGACTGCCTCAAAAAACCAAAAAATAAATAAGTAATTAAATAAGATTGTACAACACAGTGCTCTTCTCAAGAAACCCTGTGATATGGGGATAAACAAATACAATCAGAATAAACACATATTATCCACAAGTAAAAGAACAAAGTTAGATCTTTATCTAGCAACACAGACAAAATGAAGCTGAACCTTAGCTGAACAACATATACAAAAATTAACTCTAGTGGCCAAGACCTAAAATTCTAAAACTAAACTATGCTTTTGGATCTTACAGTGATTTCTTAGACATTAATAAATAATATAAGCAACAGAAAACTAAAAAAAGTGTGCTTTATTAAAATTTTTAAGATGGATGCCTCAAAAACCACTATCCAGACAAAAAAGCAACTCAAACAATGGAAGAAAATAACTGCCGATCCCATATGTGATACGGGAATAACTTCAGGATCAGAAAGGTTATAAAACTTGATAGTACAAAGCAAGCCCATTTAAAAAAATAGGCAAAGCACTTACATTTTTCTAAAGAACATAAACACATGGCCAGTAAGCACATAAGATGCTCAACAGGGAAATACAAATCAAAACTACAATGAGATACCACATCATATCCTTCAGGATGGTTATAGTTATAAATAAAAACAAGAAATGATGGTGAAGATGCAGAGTAATTGGAACACTTAATGTGAATGATTCCATAGCCCCTACGGAAAATGGTATGGTAGTTGCTCACAAAATTAAACATAGGTTTACTATTTGGTTGAGAAATTCCACTTCTAGGTATATTGAAAAAGAGACGTGAACAGATATTTGTATACCTATATTTACAGCAGCATTAATATCCAAAAAATAAAAACAACCCAAATATCCATCAATAGATGAATAAACAAAATGATACATATGATATTCAGCCTTAAAAAGGAAGAAAATTCTAATACATGCTTCAGCATAAGATGAATTATGAATTTTGAAGCTA